TGCGTTGAGGTAAATTTTTTTTTTTTATTATTACATTGGCCGATTCCCACCAAGGCAGGGTGGCCCGAAAAACAAAAACTTTCACCATCATTCACTCCATCACTGTCTTGCCAAAAGGGTGCTTTACACTACAGTTTTTAAACTGCAACATTAACACTCCTCCTTCAGAGTGCAGGCACTGTACTTCCCATCTCCAGGACTCAAGTCCGGCCTGCCGGTTTCCCTGAACCCCTTCATAAATGTTACTTTGCTCACACTCCAACAGCACGTCAAGTATTAAAAGCCATTTGTCTCCATTCACTCCTATCAAACACGCTCACGCATGCCTGCTGGAAGTCCAAGCCCCTCACACACAAAACCTCCTTTACCCCTTCCCTCCAACCTTTCCTAGGCCGACCCCTACCCCGCCTTCCTTCCACTACAGACTGATACACTCTTGAAGTCACTCTGTTTCGCTCCATTCTCTCTACATGTCCAAACCACCTCAACAACCCTTCCTCAGCCCTCTGGACAACAGTTTTGGTAATCCCGCACCTCCTCCTAACTTCCAAACTACGAATTCTCTGCATTATATTCACACCACACATTGCCCTCAGACATGACATCACTGCCTCCAGCCTTCTCCTCGCTGCAACATTCAACACCCATGCTTCACACCCATATAAGAGCGTTGGTAAAACTATACTCTCATACATTCCCCTCTTTGCCTCCAAGGACAAAGTTCTTTGTCTCCACAGACTCCTAAGAAGGGAATGTATGAAAGTATAGTAGTACCAACATTCTTATATGGGTGCGAAGCTTGGGTTGTGAATGCAGCAGCGAGGAGGCAGTTGGAAGCAGTGGAGATATCCTGTCTAAGGGCAATGTGTGGTGTAAATATTATGCAGAAAATTAGGAGGTGTGGAGTTAATAAAAGTATTAGTCAGAGCTGAATAGGGGTTGTTGAGGTGGTTTGGTCATCTAGAGAGAATGGATCAAAGTAGAATGACATGGAGAGCGTATAAATCTGTAGGGGGAAGGAAGGCGGGGTAGGGGTCATCCTCAAAAAGGTTGGAGGGAGGGGGTAAAGGAGGTTTTGTGGGCGAGGGGCTTGGACTTCCACCAAGCGTGCATGAGCGTGTTAGATAGGAGTGAATGGAGATGAATGGTATTTGGGACCTGACGATCTGTTGGAGTGTGAGCAGGGTAATATTTAGTGAAGGGATTCAGATTTCAGAGTGGGTAGGGGATGTGTAGATCAAGTGTTTACATTGAAGCATATATGTGAACAGTATTTAGATAAAGGTAGGGAAGTTTTTATTGCATTTATAGATTTAGAAAAGGCATATGATAGAGTGGATAGAGGAGCAATGTGCAGATGTTGCAAGTATATGGAATAGGTGGTAAGTTATTAAATCTGTAAAGAGTTTTTTATGAGGATAGTGGGGCTCAGGTTAGGGTGTGTAGAAAGAAGGAGACTACTTCCCGGTAAAAGTAGGTCTTAGACAGGGATGTGTAATGTCACCATGTTGTTTAATAATTTATAGATGGGGTTGTAAAGAAGTAATATGCTAGGGTGTTCAGGGAGGGTGGGATTAAATTTTGGGAATCAAATTCAAAATGGGAATTGACACAGTTACTTTTTGCTGATGATACTGTGCTTATGGGAGATTCTAAAGAAAAATTGCAAAGGTTAGTGGATGAGTTTGGGAATGTGTGTAAAGGTAGAAAGTTGAAAGTGAACATAGAAAAGAGTAAGGTGATGAGGGTGTCAAATGATTTAGATAAAGAAAAATTGGATATCAAATTGGGGGAGGAGTATGGAAGAAGTGAATGTTTTCAGATATTGGGAGTTGACGTGTCGCGGATGGATTTATGAAGGATGAGTTAATCATAGAATTGATGAGGGAAAAAGGTGAGTGGTGCGTTGAGGTATATGTGGAGTCAAAAAACGTTATCTATGGAGGCAAAGAAGGGAATGTATGAAAGTATAGTAGTACCAAACTCTTATATGGGTGTGAAGCTTGGGTGGTAAATGCAGCAGCGAGGAGACGGTTGGAGGCAGTGGAGATGTCCTGTTTAAGGGCAATGTGTGGTGTAAATATTATGCAGAAAATTCGGAGTGTGGAAATTAGGAGAAGGTGTGGAGTTAATAAAAGTATTAGTCAGAGGGCAGAAGAGGGGTTGTTGTGGTTTGGTCATTTAGAGAGAATGGATCAAAGTAGAATGACATGGAAAGCATATAAATCAATAGGGGAAGGAAGGCGGGGTAGGGGTCGTCCTCGAAAGGGTTGGAGAGAGGGGGTAAAGGAGGTTTTGTGGGCAAGGGGCTTGGACTTCCAGCAAGCGTGCGTGAGCGTGTTAGATAGGAGTGAATGGAGACGAATGGTACTTGGGACCTGACGATCTGTTGGAGTGTGTTACAAAAAACGCGATTCTAAAAGCTTAGAGATCTCCAATGAATACTAGAAAGGACTGCCCTTCTAGCATCCAGCCTGTTACTGGGTTTTCGTAACAAGTAGTCAGTATCCTTGTCCAATTATCCATTAAAATTTAGTATGGTTCAATAGTGCTTTAGGATTACAACTGGTAGGCTACTAACTAGAGAAATTAAAATTTAATAAATTTATTAAGTCTATAAGTTATCTAGAGGTATATTATCAAAGTAAATTAATTACAGCAATCAAAATAAAATCAATCTCTCGAGTTCAATATTATTATGCTGAAAGCACATATCACATTTATAATTCTTAAGTACCGTCAGGTACATTAACATTTAATAAGATATTACAAATATGTACAAGTGTGTGTATGCGTGTAAGTGCTCTTAAGTAGTTAGCTATGTCTCAAGACTCGAATAAGACTTAAACAAGTGACTGACAAAGTCCTCAAATAAACAAACTCTTGACCGATGGCAACCCGAACAGTCTGCTTGAACAACAAAGAATGCTAAGCCCAATAGCAATGCAATATCAAGCGACAGCGACACAGAATCAGGAACTGGGAAATAATATAACGACACTAAGTAGGGACCATCTGCAGATCCTCCACAAAAGTTACAAAACTCCCATAATACTGAATCTTTGTTCAGCATAGGTAAAACTGTGACTGTGACAATACACAGGAACCAGTACAAAATTAGGTCAGAAGCTATAGCTAAGGACCTGAGATGTTCAGAGTGTCTAAGTGACACACAACCTCAGTACAACGTCGAAAATCACTAAGTCTATACAATGTTCTGTGAACAAAGTTCTACAGAACTAACAAGAATAATGAGACAGACAATCTGTCCAACCAGCAAGCGAGTCTCCAGCAGACTGTCAGACAGACAAGCTGTCCAACCAGCAAGCGAGTCTCCAGCAGACTGTCAGACAGACAAGCTGTCCAACCAGCAAGCGAGTCTCTAGCAGACTGAATACTTCACACGAGGTGAGGACACCCCCCTCGATCACGTGATAGCTACGTGGACAACTGCAGCTCAGAAGCCGGCAGTATAACGAGCGACAAGCGATAATTACAGTAGTTTGACAATCAAGCCTAACTGAGCACATTTTATATACATCCTAACAACATAAGCTAAATAACAATATAACAGTCAAATAATAATATAAAGTCATACATTTACGATTTAGCTATTATCGCAAATATAAGCAATATAAAATTATATGAAAAGATAATATACATTACATATATACATAATAATCATTGTAACCCATTCAAGGGTTGCAACAGAGTGTGAGCAGGGTAATATTTAGTGAAGGGATTCAGGGAAACCGGTTATTTTCATATAGTCGGACTTGAGTCCTGGAAATGGGTAGTACAATGCCTGCACTTTAAAGGAGGGGTTTGGGATATTGGCAGTGTGGAGGGATATGTTGTGTATCTTTATATGTGTATGCTTCTAGACTGTTGTATTCTGAGCACCTCTGCAAAAACAGTGATAATGTGCGAGTGTGGTGAAAGTGTTGAATGATGATGAAAGTATTTTCTTTTTGGGGATTTTCTTTCTTTTTTGGGTCACCCTGCCTCGGTGGGAGACGGCCGACTTGTTGAAAAAAAAAAAAAAAAATTCAGGGAAACCGGTTATTTTTATATAGCCGGACTTGAGTCCTGGAAATGGGAAGTACAATGCCTGCACTCCAAAGGAGGGGTTCGGGATATTAGCAGTTTGGAGGGATATGTTGTGTACCTTTATAGGTACACCTACCATCCAACTTACGACCGAGTTCGGTTCCAAGAAACTGGTCGTAAGTTGAAATGGACGCAAGTCAAACTTTACTACTGAATATCAACATTACATTTTTGTAATGACTTTATTTTATTGTTTTATTTTGGTATTTCATGTTTTACTTTCCTTTTTATGCTGTTAGTACTGTATTTTATACTGTAAGGTTTAGGATAAACACTGTGTACAACACAAACACTTGTTTATTTCCCAGAAGTTTGGCATAAAAAACACGGTCGTAAGTCGAGTCGTCGTATGTCGAGCAGGTTGTAAGTCGGATGGTAGGTGTATATGCTTCTAAGCTGTTGTGTTCTGAGCACCTCTGCAAAAACAGTGATTATGTGTGAGTGAGGTGAAAGTGTTGAATGTTGATGAAAGTATTTTCTTTTTGGGGATTTTCTTTCTTTTCTGGGTCACCCTGCCTCGGTGGGAGACGGCCGACTTGTTTAAATAAAAAAAAAAAGAAAAATTGAAAATTCTCCATGGGGACATGGAACAGAATTTTTCCTCCTTAAGCTATGCATGTCGTAAGAGGCGACTGAAATGCTGGGAGCAAGGGGCTAGTAACCCTCGTCTCCAGTATACATTACTAAATTTGAAGAGAGAAACTTCCGTTTTTCTTTTTGGTCACCCTGGCCAGTTTCTGGGAAAAAAAAAAAAAGTTGAAAAGTGAGGGAGTTTCTAATAACTATTCAGGCATAACCAAATTTTATTTGTTATAATTATTGCAATTTTTACTGAAGGTAAATATCTGTCCATTGTTTGTAAAAATATTTTTAAACTTGCCAATCTGCAGCATTTATCGTCGAAGAAGCATTTGGATAAAGTAAGTGGACGCAAACCACAAGGAGGTGGGTGGAGGGGAAGACGACGTCCTTCGTTCCGTGGCGGACGAGTTGGCCAACCGAGGACAACCACCTACACTCAACCCCTGTCATCCAACTTTGTTGCAGGTGGTGAAATCATGTAAATGCTTTAAAGTCAGGAATAATCTTAATACTATAGGTTTGGAACAGTTATAGTTTGGGCAGGTAAAACTCCAGTGTTCATCTTTTTTTACTGTTTAACCTACTCTCCAAATGCAGAATGTGGAAATATTGTAAGTGTTTGTAGAAAATAATTTATGCATTTTATGTATTGGATGCAGTGCCATTTTTTAAAAAAAAAGATTTGATGTGTTAATTTTACGAGGACTATGATAATCATGCTGAAGTACAGTAGTTAAAATGCTTGGTACTTTAATAGGTTTTTCTGTGAAATATGCTTATGAAAATGTGTTGTACATGTGTTGATGTTTACAGTGAACATCACGATCTGTTATTTTCTTAAGCAAGGTTATTGTTCAAAGTCTGCTTTAATCCATTCATGATCCCGTCCCACTTTGCAATTTTTGTAAACCTTTTACAGTAAATTAATTTTTAAAAATTTTCTGTGTGAGCTTGTTTGGCACTGGATTGACACCTGCTGTAATTTTGTAGTCTGTAGTCCTGTAATCTGTAGGAATAATCTGTATTCTTGTCAAATCATAGGATATGGTATTAGAATTTTGTCAGTGATCTGAAAAATTAGTTGCAGCTGACCGAGTGCTGACGTCTTACCCTTTGTCACTACAGTGGGTAATCACTTGTCACTACAGTGGGTAATCACTTGTCACTACAGGGGATAATGATTTGCCACTACACTGGGTAATGACTTGATTGCTAGTATGGAGGAGCATTTGAGTTTTTAAGTGTTTGCATGACTTGTTGCAGATGGTGTTAATCCCTTGTAATGCAATGCAATAAGATCGTTTACCCCCACTTTTGTTTTATTTATCTCCAAGGGATGGAGTGATAATGGAAGAGCAATCTGAAACTGCATTATTATCGCTATATTGTGTTCCAAACTGAAAAATAGTGTATCCCTTTGATAATAATAATATATTCAGTTTTTAATGGAAATTTCTGATTACAAAAATTAATAGTAAGAATCATAATTTTAATGTAAATTAAACATTTTTTGGATATACATGTTTTATTGGTGGCTCTCTCAATAATTATTGTACATGTAAAAAAGGCACATTTGTTGCACTGTGACTTGCGGTACATTGCCAAAATGGGGCGGAGTTAATTTTTTCTCATTTTTACATTCCACAAGTCTGTGACTTTTGATTGAAATGAAAGTGTATTTGGTAAAATATTTTGCCATTTTTGCATCAAGACCCCAGAAAGTTAAGAGTCATATCAGAGGACAGTATTCTTCCTCACCCCGTCTTGAAAAGGGAAGCATTGTATATTCCAGCCTCAAAAATTCACTTCTGACCAACCTCTTTTCCAGCATCTGAGTACACATTACAGTACAGTATAGTACAAAGTACAGTACATATTACAGTACAGTAAATACTCTTTCCCAGACCTCAATTTAACAAACAGCAGAACTAAGACAGAATGCTCTGGGAAAATTGTATTTTCAACTTGATTCACAGAATTAGATCTGTCCTTTCCTTCCCTGGATCAAACCTAGATGCCTTCCATTTCCCAAGGAGGATATGACCCATACAGATTGTGCTCCCCATGAATGTAATAATAGTGTAATAACTATTTACAACTTAGTGTTAATTGTATGCTGCTGTATTATGTACACAGTTTTGTGTATTTCTCTATTAGTTTATTAAACTGATGCTTCAGTGCTTAATTTGATTGATTGTATTATTATTATTGCTGCTTTACAGATGTCCTTTTGTGTATTAGATTCACTGCAAGCCCCACATAAAGTGTACTATGTCAGGAGCCCTCAACACTTAATCCCACATTATAAGAATCTTCAGTGTGTTCTGTAAATTTCACCAATTACATTTCATGGTGAATATATTGCAAATGTGGAATTACCAGTAAAATGGGATATTGCATAAGAGCAAATTTGCATAAAGCTAGGGGAAATTTATACTATGTGGCTAACACATCAGATTCCATGGTACACACACTTTCATTCTTTTTAACACATCAGAAGTCTCCCACTGAGTAGGGTGACCAAAAAAGAGAAAATGCATTTGCCATCATTCAGTTAATGGTAGTCTTGCCAATAGCCTACTGACATCATAGTTCACATCCCTTCGAAATGCAGCATCCTCACCCCTCCTTTACAATTCAGACACTGTATTTCCCACATCTAGGACTCGCATATACACTATATACTATCTGTTGTTCTTTTTAGCTTGAGCTTGCAGACACGGCAAGTATTGCTTTACCAGACAAGCAAAGATTAATTACTTTTTTTTTTTTTTTTTATTAACTTGTCAGCTGTCTCTCACTGAGGCAGGGTGCCCCAGGAAAAGAAACACTTTCGCCATCATTCACACATAACCACTGTCTTTGCAGAGGCGCTCAGATACGACAGTTCAGATATCACTCCAAACAGCCAATATTCCATACCCCTTATTTAAATTGGAGGCATTGTACTTCCCACCTCCAGGACTCAAGTCCGAAAAATGCTCTGCCAGTAGTCGAGCCTGAGTCTGTCGTTTTAAAGGCGGCCATGCTGACCGCTGTACCACAGCAGAATCAGTCTGCACATCACAATATTAATACTCAGTATTTCATTGTTAATAACTAATGCAAACTAAGCTTAGGCAGAGCTTAACTAGGTTAGGCAGCATTACGTGAATTGTAGTAAGTTTAGTTGAGGTTGCTAAGTTCGTTATGATACAAACTAAGAAACTATTTCAGTTTTGATACTAGCTAAAAATCACAACACTAATAGGTATACGTACATGCAATGCATGCAAGTGTACATACACATGTACTAGGGATGGAATGATGCCGGAATTTTTGCCGATGCTGATACTTTGAAATTTAGTTGATAACCACCAACACCAATACTGAATTTTAGGCTTAGACCGATAGCAAAATTAGCTGAAGCATACGAATGTCAATATTTTCGCACTCCCCAAATATGTACATACGTGTATACATACATATATGTATGCATGCATTTTGCCATGTAATGTGAGTGCATGTTCTTGTTTTCTGTCAACTTCCAGAAGCATTTAATACCTATCGAAGCTGACTTGTGGCAGTGCAATAAATGGAACCTTAGTGATAGTAGTTATACTCACTGTTTTGTTTTAGGCTTTTCATTACAAAGGAATTATTTTTATATACTTCTTCTTTTTTGCCTTTCAATATTTTAATGCCATAGCTGAAAGCAAATTTTTTCTGTATATTTTTAGTTACTTAAGCCATTTAGAGTATCACCTTGTCTTAACCCTTTCAGGGCCCGTGCTGTAGATCTATGGCTTTACGTTCAGAGTCCATACCGTAGATCTACACCATGAGCTCAGCTCGCTCTGATAAGCTGTGAGTGGTAAATTTGGGCCTAGATATGAGAGAATACATCTATGTGGTATGTGTGCACCACATAAAACAAATCCTGTAACACACACTGTATAATGAGAGACAAAAAACTGAGATCATGATTTTCGATTAAAACGGTGACTTTGCAGTGTTTTTTCGTATGTTTTTTATAGTTGTATTTGCGATTTCTTGGTCTCATTTGATAGAATGGAAGACATATTACAGAGAGAGATGATTTTGATTGGTTTTAGCACAGGAAATGGCTTGAAACCGAGCTCAAAGTAGCGGAAATGTTAAATTTTTGCCGATGTTCAAGAGTAAACAAACGACCTCACACGTCTAATACACGCCAGCTGGTGGATCTAATATACATTCACGAATGTGGTGATGATATTTATACAATTATTACAATATTGCATGACAGTAAATCTTCTATTTTTTGGTTTGAATAAAAATTCATTATGTGAATAAAAAATGAAAATTGAATTCATTTGTAAAGCCTCAAAACGTAACTAATGAACAGAGGAAATGTTAGTTTAGTGCCAGGAATACTTACATTATTTATTCTGGACCCTATTTTGAAATCGGAATATTTTGAACTTTGTGTTAAAAAAGGCCAAATTACCAATTTCCGATCACTTTATTTTGTAGTTGAAACAGTTGACTTCGCGATTTCTTGTGCTCAATCGATAGAATAGAAGTAATACTAGTGAAATAGCTAAGAATTTGGTAGACTGGAATAATGTAATTGGTCTAAAATGGGAGTCAGAGTCGGTAAAATCGCCGATTCGTAAATATCGCTGACACATCAGAATTCGCAAGAGCATAATTTCGTCAATTTTCCATCAAATTTCGTACTTTTTGTTTTATTACCTTCAGAAAAAGATTCTCTACCATTCATAAGAAAAAAATAAAAAATTTTTTTTGAAAATTCTTGGACCCTGGTGTGCACTTTGAAATTTGGCCTCTGGACCCTGAAAGGGTTAAAAAGCACAGCTTTCCAGTTCATGGTAGTGTTTTGACTAACTGGAATCTTTCAACTTCTTTACTATTAAAATACTATTCCTCTTAAAAAAAAAAAAAAAAGAGCATTGTTCTATATATAGTGTAGTAATAATGCTTGAAGCTTAGGATGCTGTTGGTGAGTGAAGCTTGTATATTTCCTTTTTACCTGAATATTTGATCTCTGTCATGCTCAATCATAAATGTATATAAAATATCATCATAAATGTCTATATAAATGATACTGCATTTTTAGGCAAAATGCTGTATCAGCATTTTGTCTAAGAATCCATGACAGGAGCTTTTAAAGAATAAAAAATGATTGTTGAGATGCAGGTCAGTTAAGCTTTGGGTGGTTTGTTTCTCCAATCAGGTCTTCAGTGAAGAAAAGTCACACGTTGCAGAAGAAGCTTTTATTGCAGCAACATTTTGCTCTGTGCTGAGGTTTTATCATTTAACTTGGAGCCAAACATTGTCTCAATAAAAGCTTATTCTGAAGTGTGTGTTTTCTTCACTTTAATTGGCAGATATGTAAATTAAAGGAAACCCAAGGTCATGGAGGAGGAGGATGATGATGATTCAGTTTTCACAACAACAGTACCTTAATTTGAGCATTTTTACGTTATCTGATGTAACCTTTTGCTACATGGAGATATTGCTTCAGAAATAATTATGAAACTAAAAGTACCTGAAATATTCTTCAGTCTCAGGTTTTTCAAATACTGAACATGGTCAGGTTATATATTGCTTACTTGAAAAGGATAATTCAAGGAAAGCATTGAGGCCCATTCACCTCAAGTTCAAAAATTATCTCTTTTTGCATACCTGTCTTCATGCTAGGTAATGAAAAGATCATCATTAGAGTAAAATTTACCTGATATTAGCAGCTGTAATTCAGTATATTGTACAAGACGCATCCATTGAGGCATTTTGTTAAGAGGTGAGATGTCTAGATTGTTATATGATTTCAGCATGGTTGTTTCTGGGCATGCTTCTATTTCACTTTTATGTCATTCGACTTGTAAAATATATGAATTGAAAAATTAAATAGGGTTACTGTAATGCTGGTAGAAATTTTTATGTATATATTATATATGTATGTATATGTATGTGTATGTATATGTATATATATGTATGTGTATGTATATGTATGTGTATGTATATGATATATATATATGATATATGTATATATATGTTATAAGTATATATATGTATATGATATATAATATGTAAATTATATATTGTATATTGATAGTATGTATATGTATAATATATGTATATATATGTATATATATGTATATGTATATATATGTATATGTATATATATGTATATGTATGTATATGTATATATATGTATATGTATATATATGTATATGTATATATATGTATATATATGTATATGTATATAATGTATATATATGTATATGTATATATATGTATATATATGTTTATTATAATTATATGTCTATGTATATATATGTATATGTAAATATAATGATATGTATGTATATGTAAATATAATGTATATGTATATATATGTAAATACAAGTCTAATATGTATATAAAGTATATATTAATGTAATATATGTAGTATATGTATAGTATGTATATGTATATATATGTGTATATGTATGTATATGTATACATACATACATACATACATACAATATTTACTTTAATAATAACTAAAAATACTTTTTTTTCCTCCAGACTTCATATTTTTTTTTTTTTTTTTTTTTTTTGGGGGGGGGGTCTAAAATTTTAAATGCAGATGTTTAATAAAATTCAAATAAACTTTGTGCATGACATTAATGAACTTACTTGTAAAAGTCATTGCTTTATTTAACATAAGCTTAGGTTTAGTAGATCTCAGTGATGCTATATATGTATGCACAGTAACACCTCTATTCAGCAAAGCCCAGTTTAAGGAATTTTAGTTTTAATTGAGAAAATATGTGATAGGCAATGTCTGGATCTAATGGATCAAGTACATTGTATTTGAATTTTGTTCATTAGAGGTAGTGTGTCTGGATCTAGTGAACCAACTATGGTACATTCAGATTTTCTGGTGTAGCCAGAGTGGCTGCTGACAGGACCTGTCCTTTTTCATTGTTTCCCGGGTGGACCATAGGCTGTACCTCAGTTTATTATTGCCTGCACACACACTCGCGTAGTGTCGTCATTTGTTTTCCAATATTCCCTGGATTTACAGCACTATTTTCTTGTTTTATCATAATATAATATGCAGTATTATTAATAGTAGTGTCTGAAGCAAGCAGTAGTGCCAAGAGGAAGTGTATGAATCTAAGTGTTAATCAAAATCTTGAACTAATGAGGAGGGTTAG